CTCGTGAGATGCAACTTTTGTGTGTGTGTTTTTTTTTTTCAAGCCCCCACATTAGCTTTTTACCGGAAGCCCTGAATATAGCCGGACCATAAATATGGCCTAGACACAGATACGACCTAACGGTTGAAAGGGGTTTCTGTGACCTCTCCACGGGTGATCCTCATCCGCGTAGTGGCACTTTGTGTCACCGTGTGCTTATCGATTGTGTGATGTCCTAGTGGGATAGTAGAACTACCAAACAACCTGGATTATCCTTGATTATTTATTTCGAAATCTCTAGTTTATGTGTAATTCATGCTCACTAGTACATATAGTATTCCTTAAATGTTTTTCTTATATTATCTGAGTTTATCGTTAAATTCTCTCTCTTTCTTAATTTACCCCACCAGGACATCACCCAACGCTATAAACAACCGAGGACACAAAGTGCCACCATGCGGATAAGGATCACCCGTGAAGAGGGCCCAGAAACCCCTTTCAGTCGTTAGGCTATATTTATGGCCCGGCTATATTCAGGGCCCTCGTCAAAAGCCGGGGAAGGGCATCAAATAACGAAAAATTGCACCCCACTGTTAAAATTATCGTCAAATTACGTCCCTTTGATATACATAGTTGTTAAGCACGGCAAATATTTCGTGTGTGTGGTTTATTATTGATGTTACATCCTTTTCAGAAAGTTAAAGACTTTATGTATCTCGGAAATAAAGTAACTCAAGACTGGGATTTAGAAAAGTGGTTATTAATATGATTGTCTCCCCATTTAAACACCGGTACACACTAGCTCTCTCACTGAATGGTCGACCTCCAGCCTATTTCACCCCGGATAGGTCGGCCTCGAGCGATCCGACTTTCACACAAGGTTATGCAGCTGTTCCGCACTGGCGCTGATATCGCGTATTGCATATTTCACCATGCCAGAGCTTTTAACACTACAAAAACATTTAGATACTGGGTCTAACACCCCCCCCCCTCCCCCACCACCTTAAGAGTGAAGAAAACTATGTCACAAGCCGTCTCTTTCTCGGAGTAAAAACTTAAATGCAAGACAACAAGAGACCGCGCCACCCATAACCTCGACCACAGTAGACTAGTCTAACAAACTTATCAATGGAGTTGACCTACATTCGGCGGGGAGACTAACGTATTAGGAACAGGGAAAGCTTCAGATCTACTAGGATTTTCGTCCCCCCCCCCCCGACTTATACAGCTCCTTGGATGGCCCGACTGGATCATGAGATGGGTTTCAGCTGATTTTCAGAGTTTTCTCTAAAACACAGATGACGTGTATGTATGCGTGCGTGCGTGCCGGATTTCTTCCCTCCCATTCCTGAGATGTTACACGCAAAATGTCACACCCTGAGATTGCAAAAATATCAGTATGGGTGGTAGACAATCAAATCAATCCCAGATACCTCGTTCAAACTCAAATGAAGTTATAATAAGGGCATACATAAGACCCCAAGTCAGCATAATGTTATCTGCAATGCTTTGCTTGTAAGGGCCTGAAGCTATAACCTTTACAGGTCGTATGTCCAACTGGGCAAGACATCGCGATTTTCCCGTTCCGCCCGAATGTCTTACCCAGTTAGACACGCTAGTAACAAGCCAATGTTTTTGCTCGTAAGTCTTACCTGGCGAGACATTTGTTTGGACCACAATTTTGAGGTCATATTCTGTGTAAGCCATTCAGGAAACGTTTGATTCTTAATGAAAATTAAAAATTAGGAGTAAAATAAGGATGGCAGGTCCGAGCAAACATACTTGCTTGACAGCAGATCAGGTTATTTCTTATCTAGAGGAAACGGATTCCAATTTTTTTTCTTTGGAAAGCGATGTAGATGCAAATGACAGTGATTATTTACATCTTGAAAGTAATAATTTGTCATCTGAAGAGGAGAATAATGATAGTAGTAGTTTAGTGTGATAAAGACAGTCGATCGATCTCCGATCTGAATCATCAGCTGATCAAAGTGCAGTTGAGTGAGTGAATCAGTGATGAGTGGGTGAAATCAAGTGTTTCTGACATAAATAAATTTATGTTTGCGGTGCAAAATGCAGATGTGCAGATTTCTAATAATGAAATTCCTACAACAGTTTGTTGTTTCTTTGAACTGGTTTTTTTTACACCTGCTATCATTGAAAACAGTAAACACAGTCATGGAAACTGACTAACAACAGGCACACAGCGGAGAAGATACAAAGTAAAACCCTTGCAGGATGTTCTTGTTGTGACATACTTGGCTAGATTTTACAACTGTTGAAATAAAAGCATATCTTGGAGTCATTTTGAGAATGGCAATGCAGGAACAAGGAAAGATAAAAGATTTTGTTTCAGCTGAATGGATAAATTATATGCCTTTTTTCAAAAACATATTTTCACAACAAATGTTTGAACAAATTCACTGCATGTTTCATCTGCAACCACCTAATCAAACTGCAAGTGCTGAAGCTGACTGCCTAACAAAAGGAAATAAAATGAAAGACATGGCCCTTGATATGAATGAGAGGTATCTACAATTGTTTATTCCGCATCAAAATATTGCTGCAGATGAATGCACAATAAGTTTCAAAGGACGGTCAGCATTCAGAATGTACAATCCTCAGAAACCTCACAAATAGGGTCTGCGAGTGTTTGCATTAGCAGACCGCCGCACTGGTTATTTATATGCTTTTGAGCCATATTATAGATCTGCCACAACAAAACAGCTGCCATATCCAAGCCTGCCATTCACTGCTAGAATTGTGTTGCAACTCTGTCTTTGACTATTTGACTACACACACAAAATATGGGTGTTGTTGACCGTTTTGATCATTACTGCAACAGCTGTTCCTTTACTAGAAAATCTCTAAAGTGGTAGAAAAAACTTTATTCTGGTTGTTAGAAGTAGCTGTTGTGAACAGTTTCATTTTATATAAAGAGACACAACCTGGCTAGGCACTTGACCACATACAATATAAAAAAAAACCGATCCAGTAGCTTGTTTCAGAACAGCGAGCTTCTCAGTCTATTCGGCGAAGAGGGCACCCATCAACCCTGGATGCAGAAGAAAGACTTGACAAGCACCCTCATTTTATTGCCATATTAGAAGGAAAGAAGAGCAGGGATTGTGCAGTATGTAGTGACAGAAAAACACCTAGTCAGAGGCGACAGACAGTTTATTTCTGTGAAACATGCTCGCATCAACCTGGACTACATCCTCGTATTTGCTTCAAAAAGTACCACACTCTGACACAATATAGATAAACAGCATTTTTTTTTACATTTTCCAAACACTTTTTCACAATAAAAATGAATTAAACATATGGTATGTTCTGTTACTTGCTTGTTACAAAAGCGAATGTAGCCCACGTAAGTTGTGCATGTTTTTTTCCAAAAAATATTCCGACCTGGCAACAAGTCAGGTCAAAAAAAATTTGGACCTGAAAAGGATAAAAGTAAAATAATCAAAGTAAGTAAAAAACTCTTTATACGCAACTGGTCCATCGAGTATATGATGCTTTACAATTTTATTTATTGCGGCACGTAGTACCGGCACCTTGTTTAGGCATTGGGAGGGGTAACAGCGCAACCGCAAAAGAAACTGTTGTGATTGAAGTAAGAACGCATTTTTCACGCCCACGAGCGTGTTGGATTTATAAAGCTATACCTATATTTATAGACCAATCAGCACTCATATACTCGATGGACCAGTTGCGTATAAAGAGTTATTTACTTACTTTGATTATTTTACTTTTATAGCTTCAGGCCCTTACAAGCAAAGCATTGCAGATAACATTATGCTGACTTGGGGTCCTATGGATGCCCTTATTATAACTTCATTTGAGTTTGAACGAGGTATCTGGGATTGATTTGATTGTCTACCGCCCATACTGATATTTTTGCAATCTCAGGGTGTGACATTTGCACTCAGTGGCTTATTTGGTCAACATAACGTCGGCGCGCCCTCACTTCCCATGACTTTACCTGGTACCAGTTTAGGGCTGGGTCGTCCTGGAAGTCAAAGTCATTTCTAAAGAAAAGTTCGGCTCCGTCAAGACCCGAACCAACAGGCTTCCGATCCGTAGGCGAGCGTCTAGCCACTATTGCATGGCAGCTCCCCTTATGTAGAATAAGGCAACTTTCTAAGGGGAGGGGGGAGCTCTGGTTAGACATATTTTTCAATTTATTTACCAAAACTATAGTTAGTCTACCCATTTACACGGTGTTACACACTACCTTACTTCTGAATGGTTGACTTTCAGCCAAGCTCACTTCTGATTGTTCGACCTTGAACCACGCAGATTCACACAAGCTTAAGGGAGTTTTCCGCAATGCCATCGATATCACGTTTGTATGTTTCAGCACGCCAGAGCTTTTAACACTCCAAAAACATGGACAAACTGGGTCTAACACACAATCTCCTTAGAGGGAGTTGCAACCCATGTCACAGGCATTATCTTTCTCGGAGAGAGAAAAAAAAACACGTAAATGCAAGACAAGCCAGAAAGCAAACAACTAAGCGGCACACCCGTAACCTCTAGGAAAGTAGACCAGCCCAACAAAGTTCTCAATGAACCCTATTTTCTCTAGGGAGACTATTGTAAAACTAACCCAATCGGCACTGGATGGTTGATGCGGACAACGTCAAGCGTGCCACCTTTACATCACAGAAAACACGTGGCAACTCGTATTAGGTTGACTGGGCCTGGCCTAGATAATAGTGAGGCGTCAATATATTTTTTGTCTAGGGGTGCAATACTAGCAACTTCTTTTCAGGCTTAGTTTTCAGTACTAAGCATATTATTATGCATTTTAACACTGTTTATGCCACTGAACCCCTCGCCTAGAAAACTGCTGAGGAACTGAGCATAACCCCTACCCTCTTTCCACAGCCGAGCATCCTCAGTGTTTTGTTTGTTTCGGCGATCCTGCATATATAGTGTTTTTCTCTCTCTTTATGTTGTGTAATTTAATATACCTTTATATTAATCCCTGCTACATATTTTTTCTGTAAAAAGACATGGAAAAACTCAAAAAGGGAGACCACAAAAAGCCAAGAATCAAAAAGAAATTAATCCGAGAAGGTGACAGTAACGAAAATGGTGCGTGCGTGAAAAGAGAGAGCTCAGGCAGTGCCAACAGATCTACCATGGGAGATGAAGACGACGATGAAGTTGATTCTGAGAATAAACATGATGACGTTATGATCAGGTAAGGCGGGAGGTTGTATGTTGTAACAGTTTTAAACACACACACACACACACACACACACAAAACAAACAGGGAAGGTGATGAAAAATGGGAGAATTTGTTTTTCTAACCGTAAGTGTAACAGAAAAAAAAAATACAGATGTAGATAATTTCAGTCTCTACATCTACCAGTTCGCCAAACAAGTAATCAGTCTTTTATCGAATTAATCTATTAGCTGACCAAACGATCAACAAATGAGAAAATCAGGGAATCGTCAGTCTGTTTACACATCAAGGTGTGGTTTAATCCACTGCCATCAATCAAGTAATAATTCACTCTTCTATTAAATATACATGTGTGTGTGTGTGTGTGCGTGTGTGCGTGCGTGCGTGTATATATATATATATATATATATATATATATATATATATATATAAACCATTAAATTCTGAATTGTTACCATTATCCATCGTCGATCCATCCATCAATTAATCAAACAGTCATGGCTGATTCTTCTAAGTCCAGTTATCTATGTATCAGTCATTCTCATACAACTATAAATAATTATGTCATTAATTAAGACCTGGAATGAGTTTTAACCATCCGAGACAAAGTTAGAAATTATATTATCAGACAGACTGTGGGAACAGCACCATGCAGCCAATTCATTGAGAAACAGAAGATCAAATGCTAAAGATAAAGGTGACAGGATCGACTTTATTGCCCCGGAATTTATCCCGTATAGTTCATTTTTTTCTCTGCAGAACAATTATCTGCCTGCCGAGGGCATCAACCAGAGCACGGCCTCCGTAGCTCAAGCGACAGTCCCCACGGATCTCATTACAAATTGCACCCGCGAACTGAACGGCGCAACCGTGTAACGAACCCACGAAACGGCTTGACTACTTCGCCACAGAGACCCCCCCCCCCCCCCTCAGCCCCATCTCATCCCCAAGAACAAAGGTTTGCTCCTCTAATAAGAATGTATCCATAACAACTACCAACGCAGACGCTACATGTGAAAAGATCTAATGTGAAACTAGAGGTCACCCTAGGAGAATGTGGACTTTTGACAGTAAAAGGCTTCTACATCCACACGGAATGATGAAAGTAACTATTGCTGCTTATCAAGCAGTGGGTCGTTATTCCTGCCTACGTGGCTTTACGACATAAGTGGGAATTGATAATGTTAATTTCTTCATGTTAGTGGAAACTGGAAAGATCAGTGTAAAATGGGGTAGAGGCAGACCAAGAGAGATGATGCTGGATGGGCTGAAACGATGGCATGGAGGGATATCAACAAGAAAGCTGGTACAGGCAACCAGGGATCGTGATCTGTGGAGACGCATGAGCGCCTACTCCAATTGGCAGGGCACATGCTGATGATAATAAATGACTTCATGATGGTGTCTCCCACATAATATTATTAAAGCATCGGCATCCTCGATTATGTAAGTAAAAATATATTCCACTCGCTGTGTCTGTCCGCGCTAAAATGCGATAGTTTGTATTCATGCTGGGCAGAATATGTCGGTACGACAAAACTCTATTACAAACAGTACAATACGATCGTCAGGAGATAAGCTCGAACAACGACTTTAAACTTAATCTCAGCTTCCACACTCGGCCTACTACACTGATCTGTTTAAAAGGAAAGAACTACATATTCAAACTGGTTTGCATACGCATAAAACGAAACCAGAGCCCCGTTGCAAAATTCCTGTGGGTATCCAATCCTATTCACGAGATCACAATTAAACATAGACGTATAGGGGAGAATAAAACGGGTGGCAATATATTCTAAGCAATTACAAAAACCGGGTTGGCGGGGGCTGGGGGAAACCCGGGTGTTGTAGGCAAATTAAGAATTCCTTGAATATCTCTATCAGCTTATACTCAGGGAAATTCCATAAATTGAAAGTAAACTGCTTCTGCCCACCTGGAGGTGACCCTCTCCATTTTATAGTGTACTAATCGATTAACAGTACGCTGATTCGTGAGACCCGTTGTAAAATAGTTTAACTAAAAATGACTTCTTCTGTTCTTCTTCTTCGCATCCTCCTACTGCTTCGTATACCAGATCTGGAGCACACATGGCTGTCCAGTTCTATGTCATTTAGGGTTTATTTGAAAGTCTGTCATTTACAATTGAGTTGAAAGTCTGTCATTTACAGTTTAGTTGAAAGTCTGTCATTTGCAGTTTAGTTAAAAGTCTCTCATTTACAGTTTCTGTAAACATATTATAATTTTTTTTTTTGGTACAGCTGCTTGAGAATTTCACATAATTCTGTCTGTCTTACTTCACATTCCTTGTTAACTATTTCAAACGAGGTTAATTTATCGATTCCACTCTTCTTGTAATTTTCCCCAAACCATGACGTTTTGTTTCTGGGTGGTGCGCAGTACTAGTATCTTTTTATGCATTTTTTTAAAAATACGACTGCAATAGACATTTCATTGTGAGTATTGGCAGCTCTAATAAGACACTTTTTGGTGAGTACCAGAACCCTTTTTTCTTTCTAGAAAAAATCAGGGTGTATAATTAAGATCCTACCCCAAACAGGAAAATCCACGGGTCACGTCCTCATCATCATCATGTAGAAGGTCCTTTGCAAAACGTCGCTCTCATCACGGTCTGCCTGGGGGAAAAACTCGGTCTCTCGCCAGTTCTCCCGCCTCATGCACTTATATCCTGTGCCCACAGGTCACGGGACGGTTATATATTTCAGGGGGTGGTAGATAGGCTGCTTGCAGTCGTGGAACCTAGGCTGCATGCATTTGTGGGACCTAGGCTGCATTGTCTCGTGGGATGTAGGTGGGTTGGGGTTAGGGTCAGTTCTAGATGTTTTGGGGTCATTACAAGCATTAGAAAGCCGGGAAACCCAATCTTACCACCCTCTAAAATGTTGGACTATCCTGTGAAGTTATCTTGGGTAGGATATTAATAAAGAACCAAGATCCGTGCCTCAGATCCATCTTTCCCCCACAAGGGCCAGCTAAAGGCATAGTTTTCGCCGGCACACAAAGGGGAGAAATTGTTGGGTGACCTGTTTGCTGTGACGCAGGAACTGCGATTAACATCTAACAACTTTAGCTGAACAATTGTGCTAGATTTGAATATCGAAGAGAATGACTGATTAACGTCTTTGTGTCTCGGCAGCTAAGTTAATTGGATCACATGGTTCAGGGAAGCAGACGTGAAAACGAATACAAGATATTACGAACAATAACTGTATGAAAATACATAGTTTGGCATGTTTATCCAGAGACTGTTTACCTTTATTATCGAGGGGGGCCGAGTCTTTTCAAGTTCTGATGGGATCTTCTGCATGATTAATATGTAATCTTGGCAAAAAAAATTTTTGTGCCAATTAGTTTTGAATAAGATTGTCGGCTCTCCTTGCAATAACGGTCGCTATTTGGACGGCGACGGCCGCTTATTCGCAGTTCAGTCCCCTGGCTGCAGTGCAATTACGGAATGGAAAAGAGGGAACGAAACAAATGACATAATTAGGGCTAGGGGTAGGGTTGGGGTTTGGGTTAGAGTTTGGGTTAGACTAATGTGAGTCGCAACGCGTGGTTTAGACGCCATGTTGAACTCACTGTGTTTTGTGATTCGTGCCTTGTCCACTCCGTAATTGCACTGCAGCCAGGGGACTGAACTACGACTAAGCAGCCGTCGCCGTCCAAGTAGCGACCGTTATTGCAAGGAGAACCAGATTGTCCCTTAAATATGGATTGTCCACAACAACAGATCTTATTTATATTTTCAAACACCTCACAGCCCATGCGGTGGTCATTGGTGGTAATCACTGTGTTCTGACACGTGTTCTAATGCAGATGTTATGTAATGCTATGGTGCCAGACTGCAGCATGATCTCTTTCCCGTTGCTATAACATACTCTAGTTTTGCCATTTTCACAACGCGTCGAGAATGTGGACTGTCCGTCTCTGATGCTGGTAATCGGTTTTTAAGAAACGTTTTCTTGTTTACAAGAATTTTTGGAAAGGGGGAAGCTTCTCCTAAGAGGTCTGGGAAGTTACAGGCCAGGAAAGGACACTTGGGCAAATGCGGCCACTTTTGCTTTTGACGTCTATGATGGGTTCCAGAACAGACAGGAAACTATGGCGGTAGGGCTGGATCTCGAGGTTGCTTATAACAGAGTGAGATACGACATCTTAATGACTGCACTGAGGGAGGAAGGAGGTCAGTCCATGGCAGGTGAATTGGGTTGCAGCTGTCCTGTATTCACGTCGGGTTGCTCTCCGACTGGGCTCATGGACCTCTGAACCATGCAATTTAGCTCCAGGACTGCCACAGGGATCCGCCATCTCGCCTGTGCGTGTATACGAGCAAGATTGCAAGCCTAGAAGCACCAGGAGTTGGAAGGATACTGACTTTTGCGGATGATATACTTGCATATAGGCAGGGGGAAAAGAGGGAACAAACAGCCCGGAAGCTACAAGCGACAGTAGACAAAGTGACTGAGTGGTGTACAGAAATGAAGGCTGTCGTCCACCCGGAAAGGGCGTCTGTTTTGTGGTGTTCTCTGGACAACAGAATCGTTAAAACTAATGTCCCAAGTCTCACGATAGATGGTAGAGACGTCAACAGAGAGAGCAAACTGAAGTATCTGGGAATTACATTTGACAGGAGCCTGTCATTTAAGGACCATGTGGAGAGTGTTGTGACGAGATGCCAAAAAGGACTTAATGCACTTAAGACTATGGCTGCAGTTGACAGAGAGCAGAGAATGCTTTTCACACTATATCAGCACCTGATCCTGTCAGTGGTGGATCATGGCCTGGGACTGCTTACCGTCTCAAAAAGTCAGATGGACAAATTAGAGCGCATACAGAACGCGGCTATGCGGGTCATTGTGGGTTGCACCAGAGACACCCCAGTGGTGTTTATGCGATACATCCTCTGTTTGCCGACGGTTGCAGGTAGGCACAAAGTGATGCAGGCGAAGTCATATCTCAGGGTAGCTGCAGACACAGACTACCCTCTGCATGAAGCTATGTGTGCAGTTAAGGGTCAGCGGCTGATAAGAGGGAGGTCATGGATGGCTCAGGCAGAAGACACAATCAGACAGGTTTGCATCCTTGAGAACATTAGGCGAGGAGAGGAGTGGGTCAAAGTGCCACCTGAGCAGTCAGACTTGTGTTGAGTCATAATCACGCTGAGCCGGGAATGCAGAGACTGGCCAGCAGGTGCCACAGAGGTGGAAATTCAGCAATTAATTCAAGATAATGCTCGCTCAGAGGATTTGATCATTTACACAGACGGTTCAGTGTCAATAGGCAAAAGAAGTGCTTGGGACTTTTTAGCAAAAGTTAATGGTCGACGGTTGGTGCAGGAGAGCCTAGCATATGATACCACAACATCCAGCTTAAGAATGGAGGTGGAGGCGGTCACTGCAGCTTTCCGCTGGATAGAGAACACGACACACACGCACACATTGTAATTGCAACTGATTCAGAAAGCATGCTGAGGAAGATCAGAACAGGTAGGCTTCGTGCAGAGTGGCATGCTTCGCTGCGGAGGACACGAGTGAGGAGTATTGTGTGTATTTTTTTCACCGGGTCACGCCGGTGTGTTGGGAAATGAACAGGCAGACAGACTGGCTGGCTCTGTACAACTTGATGGAATACTGCTACATGATAATGCAGACGTTGTTAGTGCCTTGTGGGAGAGCGTGTACAATGCAGAGGAGCAGATGGATCACCACAGTTTGGTGAGATTGATGCAGTTGGGGGTGACGAGAGGTTCTGGCAGAAGCTCAAGGCTCGGAGGAAAGGCAAGACGGACGTGTAATCAGAAAGCTACTGGCACCATTAGTATCGGAACTCTTCGTGGCTGCTGAAGATGGGGACGGAGCGCTTATGGGAATGCCCCGAGTGCTGTGATGTAGGTTCTTGAATCAAATCAAAAAACGTTTTCTAAACGTCTTTCTAACATTTTCTGGAAACCCTTACGGAAATTGCCGTACCATAAAAGGAACTATTCGGAATTGTTCGTGATGTCACGTGGAAACTGACGAATAAGATTGGCGAATGTTTGATGACGAAGTACACACATTCCTGCTAGTATCAGATCTTGTGTGAACAAGGAAAGAAGGCGGACCGTCAATTCCTGTCTTCGACGTCCTCAAAACAAATCAGTCGCTTCTTTGACAGTTAATACGTGGAAATTATGCTGGGAACTTCATTTTTTGACAACGACCCATTCTTTGTGTAAGTTTTGGTTCTTATTATTGAATTTAATGTAATTGAGTAAAAATAACATAAGGAGAGAACGAGAGCTGAATTCGATAACAGGTCTGTTTTGTTTGGTTGTCGTTGGACTACTTGGACATCTGTTTACTTTCATCGTGCTAGCAAGATTTCTTTTTAACTGCCGCTACACAGTTGTGTTGTTTCATAAGACCAGTACAAACCAATGCTACTGTCTTTCAGTTTATGTAAGTAAGTAGAAAGCCTGAAAGTGTTTTCTGCCTACGAATATTAAAAATGGAAGAGCCCAATCAAAAACATGGCTGATTGTCTCGTGATTTTTTTACTTCTACTAAAAATGAAAACGTGTTCAGACTGTTCAGACTGTTCAGCTCAAAACAAAAAGTGAATTGCGTAATAGCTTAAATATTGTGAAAGAAGATATGACTGACGCACGCTGGCCCCAACCACTAAATATTAAATACCAATTATTATCGCCCAATTTCGCGGCTGTATTTGTTATTGAATTTTATTTAGGTTAGGGGCAAAACCGCACCCACTTCTTCAGTTCTGATAATAATTGAAACTTGAAACTAAGACTACAGTTGTATTAGTTAGGTGCTTTACTTTCAATCATAGCAGTATGCAGGCCTAATTAATTTGATGCACTGTTGAGTTTTTCTGACACATTTTTTTTTTTTGACCTATGCCATACTTAATAGTTCAGATAGTACTAGTACTTATTCCTCTGTGATGGTCTCCATCCATATATAATATAAACTCAATACATTAAACAAATCTTGACACTTCACTATCATATCTAGTGATATTTAAGTTTGAAACATTCCTAGTCTGCAGTCTTCCCTCCTCCTCCACCTCCCACGCATATAATGTTAAACCTAAGTGAAAGTAGCATTAACGAGAGACAAAACTAAATACAGGAAGGAAAAGTTAAATAAAACAGAAAACTGGGTTTTCCTAGACTGTAGTGGGTAGGCTGGTTTTAAGCTAAAATGCTATAGAAAAATTCCTAAAAGACAATCCATAAAAGGTCCCTGTACACCTAGCGGTGCATCAGACATCACAGTCACACACATATAAAGCTAGGCTCGTATTTCTGTAGACCAATCAGTCATTGTTGGGTGATGTGGTCAGCATCACAACCACGCTGGCCACTTTTACTTCCCAGGACTTGGGAGCCTAGGTTACAAACAAACAAAAAAGCTGGCTGTATGTGGTTATGAATTTATGGCCTTCAGATTTGCAGGCGAGCATCTAGCCACTTTAGAAGGCTGTAGAGGGGAACAAAGTGATCTTTCCAAAAGATTTGAACGTAAAGAAAAACTGGCTCATAAACAGCTTCTTTAATTTAAAAAAAAAAAAAATACACAAATACTTTGGCCATGTCAGATGTTACCATGGCTAGGAAAGAACAGTAAGGGATGGGGTATACCGGAAAAAAGAGGCAAGGGGCTCCAGAATACGGTGGGCACAATATATGGGTTTTTAGATTTCTCTAGGGCGAAATGTTTACAAGGGAGTGGGAATTGGCAGAAGTTTTAAGCAGTCTGGAAGGAGACTGACATCTTGACTCAGCATATATAAATTACTATGAAAGGCAGAGGTCACAAACCCTGTATGTAATCAAAGTAAAATATTGATAGTGCTGTGTGTAATGACATTAGTTGAATAACTGACGTGACAGTGTAATAATTAATTATAAGACAATGTAATAATTATAATGGCCTTAATTGTTGAAGAAATCATGTGACATCTTTAATCAATTATTGAATGGCAGATGGAAACTCACACACATTCCAATAATCTGTGGTATACGGCTGTTTTATTTGCACTCTCTGTCGTGTTTTTTTTTTTTTAAATCACTTTCACCAAGCCAATGAGATCTTTGTGATTTGTTGATAAATATCAGAGCAGATGCCTGAAAAAAAAAGCATGTGGGGTCATTTTATGTGGTTATAGTAGGTAGTCAGTCAACGAGCCTCAGGTGGATGTGATATCTCTTTTTCTAATCCATGCTTGCCATTAAGCTTATGGGTAAGGCAGGCCTAAAATTGAGTTAAAAGCCCATTTGCATTGCTTTGAGCTAGTAGTTAATATACCAGCTATGTTGTCTCTGCAGTTTATTGGTTTTCCTTTTACTCTGAAGCCAGATTTTTGTTTATTAGTTATGGTTCATCCTTTTATTGGTGGCTGATTAACTTTCATTTTGTCAAAAATGTTTTTCTGTCAGTGAATTTGATACATGTTATGCTCATATGTAACTCAGGTGCCGGTTCTTCTTTCTGGAGATTTGCATCCCTCAAATCATCCCTGACTTATATTTATCCTTCTCACCATCTCGTTCCTCATATACACCACTTTATCCCTTAGATCGTTTCACTGTCTTACACGTACATTCAATATTTCATTCCACTTTCTCACATGTACATCTCTCACATCGTCCCACTGTCTCACATGTACATCCTGCACATCCCAGTCTCACATGTACTTTCCTCACCTCATCCCTGTCTTATGTGTACATCCCTCACCTCATCCATGTCTTACATCCCTGTCATCATCCCACTGTCTCACATGTACTTTCCTCACATTATCCCAGTGTCGCATGTAAGTTCCTCACATCTCACTGTCTCACATGTACTTTCCTCACCTCACCCATGTCTTACATGTACATCCCTGTCATCATCCCAGTCTCACATGTACTTCCCTCACATTATCTTACTGTCGCATGTAAGTTCCTCACATCTCACTGTCTCACATGTACTTTCCTCACCTCACCCATGTCTTACATGTACATCCCTGTCATCATCACAGTCTCACATGTACTTCCCTCACATTATCTTACTGTCGCATGTAAGTTCCTCACATCTCACTGTCTCACATGTACTTTCCTCAGCTCTTACATGTACATCCCTCACATTGTCCCACTTTTTCACATGTACATCTCTCACCTCATCCCACTGTCTCACATTTAAATCCCGCACATCCCACCGTCTCACATGTACATCCCGCACATTATCCCACTGTTGCATGTAAGTTCCTTACAGCGCACTGTCTCACATGTACACCCTTACATTATCCCACTGTACCACAGGTACATCCCTCACATCCCAGTGCTTAACGTACACCCTGCCATCTCATGTACATCCCGCTGTGCCTGTGTGTAAGATACCTCAAATTGTTGCTACACCTGTGATTTGTGCCAAGTGCTCAAGCAGTTTACATAACAGGGGCTGTAATGGCATTGCATTTATCCGTACATTCACAGCGGCCATCATGAGCACATGAGGCAGATGGACCAAATGTTCATGAATCCATTTGGTGGCTTCGGTGGAGGCATGCTGGCTCTGCCAGACCCCTCTAGGACAGACAGACGTCGGCAGCAGCAGCAGGCTCAGAACATGCAGGTGGCCGAGCGCAACTTGTTCATGGATCCATTCTCTCATTTTGACTCCATGTTTTCCAACATGAGGTCAATGATGACTGACATGCATCGTGCATTTGTGAGTTCTGTCATGTTTGCTTTGTTTGTTTTAAGTATGGTGCATGTAGGTCTTGTGTTTGATGCTTTGTGTTAGGCTCATGTTGTAAATATGGTCTTTGTAAGTCCTATATTTGATGCTTTGTGTTGGCTCATGTTGTAAATATGGTCTTTGTTAGTCCTATGTTTGATGCTTTGTGTTAGGCTCATGTTGTAAATGTGGAAGTCCTGTGTTTGATGCTTTGTGTTAGGCTCATGTTGTAAATGTGGTATTTGTAAGTCCTGTGATTAATTTTATATCAGGCTTATGTTAGGGGTGTTTTTAAGTCCAGTTTTTGATGTTTAAGTAGTTAGCACCATGTTGCTTGTTTGTTTTAAACCACATCGTTTCAAGCCTTGCAGTGGATAATTAAGCTTGTTGCTTTTGATAAGATACATTTTTGTGGTGAAGTGGGCAACTTAAATAAACCTATGTAGATTGTTTTTATTTGGACCACATTCTCAAGTTTATGATTGCAGTTTTTTCAGAAGCCTCTGATCATTGTCACCTGAGCTGCATAGTTGATGTTTAACAAGATGGTCAGTAAAGAATGAGACAATTTGAGGTATTAAGAGTGAGGAAAAGATGCTGGCACTGGGTAGGGCTACTCTAAGATGATAATATAAAACAACTAGTGTGTCTTTACAATGGAACTCACAGGGCCATACACAAAGAAAATGAATATGAAGGAAAGTAATAGAGGGCTTGATTGTGACGTGGTTAAGAGTCTGCTTCGTTGGAAAAAATGGAGAATTGTCTGTTGTAGCAGTGGTGATTGATAATGCTGTTTAAAAAGTGCATGTTATAGCAGTGGGTTGGATTTATTGTTGTAATAGCCATGTTGTTGTAGCGGTGATGATGATTGCTGTAGCAGCAGTGATGGATGCTCGTGTAGATATAGTTGTGGTAGTAGTGGTGGTGGTTGTAGCAGTCAAACCACTTATTGTGCCAACGTGGACGGTTCATCAGTAGAACTGCAGTTCATTGTCACTGCAAGCAGCAGTTGCACACATACAAATATCACATAAGGCACCACCAGTTCTGTGGCAACACTCCGCTTGTTTTCTGAATCTGCAGTTCACTAGACAGGCCACCTTGGACATTGAAGTGTTCCAAATGAAATCCTCCACACCATTTACTCGACTCAATAGCTGGGTGAAAGAATAATATACTTTCAGTCCACAAATGTAGAAACATGCAACAGCAGAAAGCAGATAACTCGACGAGACTGACACAAGCCTGCCTGTCCACCATATTGGACCAGCAAGCTGTTTTTGTACCAGTGGTTGTGGGCGTTGTACCACTGATGACAAAAGCTGTTGTAACAATCACAGATTTTGTAGGAATGGAAGCAGCTGTGACATAATTCTTTAGTCATTGTAATTGATGTCCATGACCAGGTTGACAGGTGACGGTGACACTCATAGACATGTAATTGACACTTGGTGCTCCTCTTTCAGGATCAGGTAGCCACTGACCCCAATGCCCATGTATACCAGCAGCAGTCCTTCATGTCCTACAGTAATACAGGTAACGGAGCTCCTCAAGTCTACCAGGCAGTGGCATCAAGTAGACAGGCGCCTGGCGGGGTAAGGAAGCGTGATCTTGTTCCTGCTCACACTTTCATGTTTATGACTACCCCCCCCCCCCCCCCCCCCCCCCCTCATTATGCATTCACCTTTATCCGGGTGTGTTATCCCCTTTGCAACAAAATGGTACTATGGAAACCTGCACACATATATGACCTCAGTAACGGTACATAATTATTTCCAAGTTTTTTGGCATTTCCATGCAGCTTTTAGTAGAAAGAGATTGCTTTTGTGTGTATGTATGTGTGAACGGTTATTTTGCTTCTCTGCCAAGATTGGTTCAATCCCTCACAGAGGTAAAATTATTAAGTAGCTTTTCTAGTGTCTAGAGCACTTAGCTCTTATGCTGTTGAACCTGTATTTCTTGTAAGAGGGCATTGTGGACAGACAATATTAAAAAATCAGTCATTTGATTCTTCAGCATTGCTAGAATTAAGTTAGGAAGATAATATTTAGGACCATGAGAAGAAATGGACATATAATCACTAAATAAGCACCGAGATGGGAAACAGATGGTTTGAGGAATTTAGGATATTCTAGACATGAACATTTTTGAGAGATGCTAAAGTTGCTGGGTTGGGTTCCATTAAGAATGTCAAAAAGAATGCAGAGGATAGAGGACTAAACCGTGAGCCCTATGGGATCTATAATATCTTGACAGGATTAGGGTTCAAATAATGAAGATTGTGGATCCCTGCACTAAGGGTACACCAAATAGATATTCGCAGATGTAGAATGTATCCTTTGCAAACTGGTTGACTGTACTTTGGAGCCACTCTTGCATGTTGTCATTTTTGATTTGTTCCAAAATTGGTTCCCTTTTTTGTTGCATATTATTATCAAATGTGTCCTAGAAGATTAGAGGCATTTCCCTCAAAGTCAGAGTGCATTTGCATGAGAGGTAAGAAACCAAGTAACAATCACAAAAACAGATGTGCATGCAAAACTCACGTTCTGGATTAAGACCAAATCCAGGAGTGGATGAACACACCAGAACTTCTGGAGTTTACAACCAGCCGATGAACACTGAGAAGAAGAGATTGGTTAGTGGGGAAATATGGAAAACCTTCATGTAGAGTGGATTGGTTAGTGGGGAAATATGGAAAACCTTCACGTAGAGTGGATTGCTTAGTGGGGAAATATGGAAAACCTTCACGTAGAGTGGATTGGTTAGTGGGGAAATATGGAAAACCTTCACGTAGAGTGGATTGGTTAGTGGGGAAATATGGAAAACCTTCACGTAGAGTGGATTGGTTAGTGGGGAAATATGGAAAACCTTCACGTAGAGTGGATTGGTTAGTGGGGAAATATGGAAAACCTTCACGTAGAGTGGATTGGTTAGTGGGGAAATATGGAAAACCTTCACGTAGAGTGGATATCTTCCCCTGTGACATATTGTAACCAGAAGTGATTTGTGTAATGCATAAACTATCTGTGATTTATGTAGTAATGAAAACGTCAGTGATTTGTGTAATGCTCAAACTACCTGTGATTTATGTAGTAATGAAAACGTCAGTGATTTGTGTAATGCTCAAACTACCTGTGATTTATGTAGTAATGAAAACGTCAGTGATTTGTGTAATGCTCAAACTACCTGTGATTTATGTAGTAATGAAAACGTCAGTGATTTGTGTAATGCTCAAACTACCTGTGATTTATGCAGTAATGAAAACGTCAGTGATTTGTGCAAAATTACCAACAGTGATGTGTGTATTATTAATACATTCACGATTTGTGTAATCTTTAAGCGGGCTTGATTTGTGAATTATTATACAGCAGCGATTTCTGTAAAATGTGAATTGTGAACTATTTAAACCATCAGCACTTTTTTGTGTGGGTAATATTTAAGTCTGCAGTAATTTGTGTATACATCAGCGATTTGTGAAATATTTAAACCAGCTCTGATGTGTGCAAGAGTTGAACCATTTGTGATACTGGTAAAATTGAACCAATTGTGATTGTGGTTGATTTAAATGACTTACGATTTCTGTTGATATTAAAACTACCTGTGATTGATTTTGCAGGTGAAAGAAACCAGAAAGGCAGTGCGTGACTCGCAAACAGGAGTGGAGAAGGTTGCTGTCGGCCATCACATCAATGACCGTGCACATATAATTGAGAGAAGCCGCAACAACAGAACAGGAGAGCAGAATGAGAACCAGGAGTATGTGAATCTGGATGAAGGTAGGTGTTTCGGATCTGAAGGTCGTGGGTTCATGTCACGGCGGCACCATTCAGTTCATGGGTGCAATTTTCATGGAGATCCCTGGGGATCATCGCCAGAGCTAGATACAGATTTCGTACTTTGTGCATTGCCCTCGCAGGCAGCTAGCGAAGAGGGACCGAACCATAGGGGGGGGAGAGGGGGTCAATGGAGTCAATAATCTTGACTTTAACCTTATAACTTTAACAATAGACATAGATTATTGTCCTGTGGGCACAGTAATGAACACAAAATGGAATGAATTAAGGAGTAGTGAAGAAATTAAGGAAATGTCTGGGCAACTACAACAGTTGTAATAAGACAGAATGGGGCTATCCTCCGAATAACAGGCACAAAATATGGCGGTCGCAAAAACACACTGCATCTCCCGCAGCTTTGCTCGTGAGCCCCAGCCATCTAGTTTAGCCCCAATCCACGCCGCATGAGCGACGTGGGGGATACTCGTGGCGGTAGTCGCCGGAAAACCGCAAATTAGGTCGCCGGGACTGCTCAATTGACACGGGACTGAGGCCCTGTTATTTGCCGCCATATTTTGTGCCTGTTATTTGGAGGATAGCCCAGAATGGCACTATATTGAACATATTCTGAGAAGAGATGAACATAGAATCACCACACACACACGCACTGATATGGGAAATTTAGGGACTGAGGCAACGAGAACGTTCAAGATGCAAACATTGATGAGAGAAAGGTGCTGGATTGGTTTCCTGGATTCCATCCATGATGTCAAAGTGATTTCACAGGATAGAATGAAATGGAGCAATAGGACTGCAAGCCTATAATACAACAGGATAGTCAATGAATCGGTGAATGTGGACCCAGTTGCTAGTTTCCCAACTTCCTATATTACTTTAGGCCGCTGATTGCCTCCCATTGGTTGGTTCTGCCTTAGCAAAACAAATGTTTCTGATATCTGCTTTAAAGTCAAATCATCTGTTAACCTTTATTATGGCTCAGTGGGAGATTTATATTATGACTGGGAGAGGTCAGTGTTATGACTCCATGGGAGATCATGTTATGACTCACTTTATATTGGTATTATGGGTATTATAACTCTGAGAAATTGGATCATGATCTCTGGGACATTAGTATTATATCTCTGTGAATGATGATGACTACATTTTAGATTGGTATTATGACTCTTGGGTAGTATTATAACTCCTGTGTAGTATTATGATTCTATGGGGTTTGGGTATTATGACTCAGTGGGAGATTGTTTTATGACTCCCTGGGAGATAAGTCTTATTATTCCATGGATGATAAGTATTATGACTAAGAGGACTAGTATTCTGAGCTGCTGTGGCAAATGTGTCATGTATGTCCCATACAGTAATTATAACTCATTAGAGACTGGTATTTGGTAGGTCATATCCTGGGTTTTATAACCTTCAAGAAGACTGATATCTTGACACATGCAGAGATAAATGTATGTAAATAATATGCTTTGCTGTGTATATCCTATCCTTAAATGTGTGTATTTTCGAAAGATGTGTAATGACCTGTAAAAAATGGTCATTTACAGATGGTTTTAAAAATGAATTTCCATGGGTTTCTCCCCTTTTATTTTAAAGCATTTCTGTGGATAGGGTTCTGTTCACATATCTCTTGCATTCGCCATGAAGTGTGCAGGTTAGGATTATAGGGGAAGGGAAAGGATAAGACATGCACGATTACAACCAACTTAAATTTTTAGCCATGTTTTGTGTTTTTACTTCTCGGCTCGACTGTAGTCACCATTGTTTTTTACATGATTTTAAAAATCTTTGTTACAAGTACTTCCTTGTAGATGCATACAATAAATATGATTTAAAAAAAAAAAACATAAAACAATAGAGTGCACTCACCGTTTGGGTTCCGGAGTCCATATGGGGGGGGGGGGGCGCTCTCCCTAACAAGCAAATAAGGTGACTAATTGGAATAGTTTGCTTTGAAGTCTTGAGTGTACCCCCACACATATAGGCAGATCTGTGAAATGGACCTGCAGGCAAAACTTATAAACATCCTGAAGTGGATGAACAACTGCAGCTTTCTGTCCGAGTTTACAGCCAGTCTAGTTATTTGCCATATTTTGTTGCATCTCGTCAGGTGCATGTGAACAATAATAATTTGAAAAAAATCAAGCGAATAACTGAATTTTTCACACCTGAAAGGCAAAATCGCCCACACTAACTTTTCTCTACGTTTTCATATGTTTAACAGAGGAAGCACAGCCTTTTGACCGAGAATACCAGGAGAAATTCCATGCAGGGATGGCTAACATGGGTGCACGAGGTATAGAGCACAGGAGAAGGGGAGACAAGTCACGGGCGCTGACCTCCGAGACACCCTACCACAGATCCCGCCACGCAGCTCTCCCTGAACCTCCTCGCAGCAGAAAACCCTCCAGCAGCAAACGAGAGTAGCTACCCTTGTTGAGTCCGTCCATGAATTCAAAGACACGGGTACTTCCTGCCTGTTAATGGTGACATTGATGGTGATCGTGTTGGAGACATCTTTGGCAGTGCTGCCATATCGGTCAAGACATTCTACCACTGTTTGATGTGTGTGTGTAAATATTTGTCATTTAGCAGACACTGCACTGCTCTGTATGTTTACACATTTTTGTTTGGTTTTCTTATTTATGTTGGTTTTTTCAATATTTCCCCCGTTTTGTTTCGCTTTTTTCTTAAGCCCGGACAGTTGGATTTACATATTGCATCAGTAGATTTTACATTGCTCAGTAGGTTTCACATCAACGTGAGATTTTGTAATTCATCTGTCTTTTCTTTCTTAAGTGTTATTAAATTTGTTTAGTTTTCTCCTCATGACTAAAAATGTCAAATTGCCATTTTTTTTAACAATTGTTTTGATATCATAAACGTGTCAGTTTGCCAGTCTTTTGAAAATTTTATTCGGATCAAACTATAATTCAGTTACACAAGTTCAAAAACAGTGGCAAGTAATAAACTTTGTGATTTGCATTGCTTTTTTTTCTGTTCTTGTTTTTATTTCAAAATAGAGTTGTTGACATTTGTCACTTTTTTATTTTTTCAATTCTTTGCTTTAATCGTCTCCCTCCCTCCCCACCACACGTGTTTGTTATAATTATGGTTTTGCCTCCCTAGTAAGTTCTTGAAATTATGTGTATGGTGGTTTCAGTAATGGCTAATAGATCTAACTGATGGTATACCAAACGATGTATGTTCAGCATAAGAAAAATCAGTTGACAGATTAACACTAAATTTATAGACATCCGAGTACCATCATCATCGACTTATATTTTAGCGGTTAAGCATCATGTGAAGTAACAGTTGGCAGGCCAGCATTCAGTGGTTAGCCCTGGCTGTTGTCTTTTTGTGATGATTTCAGGACACAGAACCACCACTGAGCTTTAAAGGTAGACAGCAAATCAAATGGTTTGGCCATGTTATAAGATTGGTATCTGACAGAGAGGGAGAGCAGTGTTATATAAATACAGCAGTAAGAGAACCAGAAGTTGACCACACAGAACGTGGACCACAGAAATATAAGTACAAAAAACAAAGCAAACAGCAGGACCTATTCCATAGATCTATTTCTCCCCTGACGCAGCAAGGCATTTCAGGAGTAGAAGAAAGTAGTTGGTGTCTTTATGTCATCAGCTCATATCAAAGAGGTGTCCATCAGACCTGTGTTGGCAGTTGCTGGACCTGTGTTGGCAGTTGCTGTGGCTGCATAAGAGCAAACTGACCGATCTTTTGCAAGGTTTTGTTTCCACAATCTGAAAGTGTCATTTCTCTACTATTACTAAGTGGTGACCGTTGGCATCCCTCCCGTATGTTATGAGCTACTGCCTGGGTATCTCCTGAGTGTCCAGTTGCATATATTGTTTCACATGACAGTGCTGGTGTTCGTGCTGCAGTGGTATCTTTGAGAGAAAGAGATACTCCACGTTGCTACCTTCATGAGTCCAAACTTAGAAAAATGTTCAAAGACATCTGTTAAAATGTGCATACATTTTAATGTTGCAGAACTGTATCTATGTATATTTTTTTTACCAATTTAATTTTGCCAGGCTTGTTAATAAAACCTGATTTATTTTTTTAAATTTTGTTTGTTTCTAGTTGGATTTCAAAGTTTTGTTTAATTTGCTCCTAATTTTTTTTTTTTAAATTGGACATTCTGTGACATTTAAGACACATCTTAAAACGAATCAGATTGTGGTTTGTGGTGGATAATGATGGAGTCAGACATCTCTTTTGGCTCATTAAGTACATTTATCTGGAGATTTTCAAGGTAGCCATAATTAACATACAGTATGTGACAGATAAACACATGTATTGAGTTGGGTTCAAAATCACTTGCCAGCCTTCTATAGTACGTTTAGGCTATTCACCAAATCTCATTATTATAGTGATACCTGATTGCGTGTGGCATGTTGGTAGTAAAGACCAAAGGAATATAAATGTCCTAAGCCAGGAAAGTGGTAAGCACTAAATTGTGTAGGTTAAGAATAAAGTTACATATTTTCAGGTGTAGTGTTATCTCAGTTTTAACATATGCCAATGACATTTGGAGAACCGCTTATGACATGGAGCAAAATTTTAATGCATTTGAAAACAAATGCCTAGGGAATGTGTTGAACATAAAATGAGATGAATTTGAGATAGGTGAAGAATAATAGAAATGTCTGGGCAAACTTAGTATCAATGGTTTATAAGCGGGGAGAAAATGAAGCCATAATGGATACCTCTTGAGACAAAATGACAGGGGAAAAAAAAAGGGGGGGGGGGGCACTATAATGGGAAAGTGAGAAAGCAAGAACACCCAAAAGAAATGCTACAATGAATGCTGATGAGAGGCCAAAGGTGCTAGGCTGAATTCCATCCATGACACCGAAAGATCATTGGGTAGCACTGGCTGGCACAGGATAGAAAGGACTGAAGAATGCACTTTGAGTACTAGATGAGACTTAATGGCACAAGACAGTGATGATGACAGCCAGTAAAGCATGTCCTTTACAGAACTTTGAGGTCTGTTGCAGGCAGTTTGGCTGCAGATGACTTTGCAGTATATTTTGCAATCATATGAGTTGGGGAAAATGGTGAGAGACTCCAACCTTCTGATAGATTGCTCCATTAGGAGCCCAGTTTTTATCACAAGAATTGTCAGCATAATGTAGAAAATGCTGAAAGAAAAAAATTGACTTGTAGAACCACAAACGCTGGGGTTGGTTCGCAACATCCTGTAAAGGAAAAGCAGCTGACCTTGTAGAACTTCGCAAGGCAGTCCTTCCATGTTTGGTTACAGTGATATGAAAGAAAGAAAGACCTGGATACAGAACTTGACCTGACTAGACATGAAACCATGATGTTTTATCGCATCTGACTGTCAAAGGTGGAGAGAGCTGATAAGGGAGGCAACAGAAACTGGTAGCCCAATGCTATGTTATGTGATGATGAATAATGATCATTATCGCCAACCGGTTAAACATCAAATAGGTCTTGCAGTCTAACCCTTATTTCATTCTCTCCTGTGCTCTCGATATCATGGATGAAATGAAATCCTCCTCTGTGATCTCTCTCCCAGCAAAATTTTCCTCCGGGTTTGTCTTTGAAAAGTGATGCTGGAATATATCAGTCAGGGCATGCTGTGAAGGGGTGCGCTATCTGCTCCACTCGGCCTGGTAATAGATGGTGATAACTAATTTGTAAGTAGTGAAATGTCTGCTTATGCTTCCACCAACATGGCTTTAGGGATGTTCGCATGTGTTCTTTGCCCCTTATCTAACAACATCTGGCACATTACAGGGGTTGCTAGTTTTCAACAAGGAATAGAAAAAGAGGCTGACAAGTTCGAGATGGGAAGCATAATGTAATGACATATGTCAGTTTTTCCTCAAAAACTGTGGAGATAGAATAAATAACAGATATAATAAATAGGCAAGTAGATCAAACACAACGTATGAGTGAACTGTGAGGCTCTGTGGCTTTGAAGTTAGTGAACACGTTTCATGGTCCTAAATTTACCAGTGTTCCAGTTTAACCGCTGGCTGCTTAGAAAACAACAATCATATATATATTTAGCGGGGATTTTACAGTGCTAGGATTTTTGATCCGCCTTCTGGCCCAGTAATTCCGACTTCAGGGTCTCTTGAGAGGGAGAGTGGGTCCACCCCTTCACTTTTACCTCGTTTGTTGTTCCATCCAGTTTCCCCACTAGGAGTTGAGACCCCAACCTTCCGCTGGATTGCTGGGAAGAACCCTGTTTATCATGTGAAAGTGAGTTAGAGATGAGCAAGAGAGGATAATAGAAGTTAAGAATCTTGTATAGTGCATCACTACTTTATTAGGACCCCAGTTTTTATCACAAGAATTGTCAGCATAAGTCAAAAAGCAAACACAAGAAGAAGAAAATATTTTCTTATGCTGCTTAGAAAATAAATATGTTCTCATGGTTTTCTGAGTGGTATGAGAGCCTTACTGTGGAAGTGAGTAGGGCTCCCACCTCGCATTCTGAAATGAAAGCAGTGGGTGCATATATCGGTTATAGTTAATCTCTGTTGTGGAGATACGATCAAGTAAAATTTTTAAAAAAGTGAACTAAACAAAGTCACTAAAGCTGTTCTGTAGGATTGCTCAGCAAGTGCCATCTCTTGACATTTGAGTATTGAAGCTACTTTGATACGATCTATATTGACATTTGGTACTGAGTTGATACAGTCTTTATATTGATATTTGGAGTTAATACTGTCTTTATTGACATTTGGTGTTTATGATAAGTTGGTACTATCTCTTTTGACATTTGGTGTTAATACTATCTTTTTTGACATTTGGTGTTCAGTTGGTACCGTTTGTATTCATGTTTGTCATTAAGCTGACACTATCTCGATTGACATTTGATGTTGATGATAAGTTGATACTGTAATTTTTGACATTTGGTATTAATAGATGTGAAGACAACAGACAAGAAAGGCATTTTTTCCCCTTTCAAATTTGACATTAAAAAATAAAAATAATCACTACTAGCTTTTTGAATAATAAAGTTACGTCAGAAAGTTAATCAGAATAGAGTCGCACAGCCTAGGTAGTGATCGTTATAAAATCAACAACAGAATTAGTTGAGCGGATTGTAATCAGCAAATCAGCAACAGTTCATGTAGTTCATTGAAATAAAATCAGTAAAGTTACACAACAGTACAAATAGTTGTTTTAAAAATAAAATCAGCGACAATACAAATAGTTGATTGAAATAAACTCAACAACAGTACAAATAGTTGATTGGGATAAACTCAACATCATTTGTTGATTGGAATAAAAGTGATAATACAGATAAGTTAATTGAAACAGAATCAATGACATTGCAAATGTTTTTTCTTTACAAATTTTAATGGAATAAAGGCAACTTTATTACCTGTTTTCTTTTTTCTTGTCTTTAAAAAAAA